CTACGTCGCTGCTGCTGCTGCTGCTACCACCAACAGAGACGCTACAACAACCTCGAGCTACTGTTTGTACTGACACGCGACACAGTACCTGTCGCTTCAGGTACAATTTAAAAAGTTAATTTAATTTTAATTTCTAATCTCAGTATACATCCCTAGCTACCTCACACATTTCTGTACGTTATTGAGCTTTCTCTTTCATAATTATGTAAGTTAAAAACCCCCTCCTTGTCCTGTTTTAATATTGCATTTTGTTGTGAAATCTTCAACCATCTCAAATGTTCCACTTGTTTAAGTGCATAGAACTGCTTCCGGCTTAATAGTGGCCCACGACTGATGGAAACATCGTCGTTTCTTCCTTTTCTGATGTGAAAAGGAATGATCTCTCTTTCTCATTCTTTATATATATATATATATATATATATATATATATATATATATATATATATATATATATATATATATATATATATATGTCGTACCTAATAGCCAGAACGCACTTCTCAGCCTACTATTCACGGCCCGATTTGCCTAATAAGCCAAGTTTTCATGAATTAATGTTTTTTCGTCTACCTAACCTACCTAACCTAACCTAACCTAGCTTTTTTTGGCTACCTAACCTAACCTTACCTATAAATATAGGTTAGGTTAGGTTAGGTAGGGTTGGTTAGGTTCGGTCATATATCTACGTTAATTTTAACTCCAATAAAAATAAATTGACCTCATACATAGAGAAAAGGGTTGCTTTATCATTTCATAAGAAAAAAATTATAGTAAATATATTAATTCAGGAAAACTTGGCTTATTAGGCAAATCGGGCCTTGAATAGTAGGCTGAGAAGTGAGTTCTGGCTACTAGGTACGACATATATATATATATATATATATATATATATATATATATATATATATATATATATATATATATATATATATATCAGTCAATGTCATCATGAAGAGAAGTTTGGCTACAGTTGGGTGTCCAGCACAAAGGGAACCCCAGTTGTGCAGACCTGACAACAGCCAAAAACGCCTAGATGTAGTCACCCTGCAGCCATGGAGGGAAGGTAAACAGGTCGTATGGGATTACACGTGTGCATCCACATTGGCTGATACCTATTTACGTTACAGCTCAGCGGAGGGAGGTGGGGCAGCCACCTTCAGGGAGACCCAGAAAATCCACAAGTACAGAGACCTAGAACGTTGTTACAGGGTCGTGTCGATAGGCTCTGAGACTCTGGGCGCCTGGGGTAAATGTGTACTCAAGTTTTTAAAGGAGGTTGGTGAGGAACTGATTGGGAAAACTAGAGACCCACGAGCAGCCAGTTTCCTGTTCCAGCGCCTCAGTGTAGCAGTTCAGAGGGGAAATGCGTGCTGTATCCTGGGTACGCACCCAACCTCCGAGGAGCTGGACGAGGTCTTCGAACACTGACTGTTTAATTGTTATATATTTGTGTGTGTGTGTGTGTTCTCTGTAAACTGTAGCATTGCAATAAAATAAAACAAAATAAAACAAAACATACAAAAAAATAATAGGGGTGGTAGGAGAGGAAAAGAATATAGTATTCAGTGAGAATCCACAAGATCTCTGAATGCTCTTTGTTTTCTTCTTCGAGGATGTGGGTCCCTGCAATTGCACCAGAGGTGGTACCCTTATATATATATATATATATATATATATATATATATATATATATATATATATATATATATATATATATATATATATATATATATATACACACACACACATTGCAAAGCATAAATTCAACTTAGCTAAACCTACGCAAATTACCTAAGCAACTGGTATGGAACAAAGTAATATACCAACGTAATCATAGCAGTTATCTAGGCATAACTACGCAAATCTGCTCTAATGCCTTCCTCGATAATCCGGCGCCCTAATAGGCGTGATTATGTGTATTTTTGTGCGCCTTCAACTGCATGACGTTTGTGCACTACAACAGGAGGACGGATTGGGATTCTTCAGTGACTTTAGACATTTGATCTCAAATGACACTCAGAGGTCAAGGTCAGAGGTCAAGGTCAGAGGTCAAGGCAGTTAACAAGGGGCTGTGGAGGAGACCAGAGGTAACAACGTCCCACAGGACACTCTCACGCCCTCTCCCCTCTCCCTGTGGACCAGCTCACACACCACCACCACGGCCTCTCCAATTATCCTTGATGGTGCATCCCAGTACCTGGCTATGCCAACACTCCTGAACAACTGGTAACGTTTCCATATATCTATATCTATTACACAGAATGTCTGTCTGTCCAAAGATAGAGACCAGATGCTTGATGCCTCGCCTAAATTTGCTGAGGGTAATGGTCTGGGATATGGGACGGACTTAAGGTGAGATATGAGACGAGCTTAAGCTGAGATATGGGTAAGACTTAAGCTGCGATATGAGTCGGACTTAAGGTGGTAGGCTTTATGAATGTTTAACACTTACCAAAACCCCCCATGCGGTTATCTTGGAGTCAAGTGTAAAATATATGGTGTGATTCCCGTAGAATTTTAGTGATTGTAATAATATATATTCTGATGAAGGGGGAGGGTGGGGAGGACGAGGGGAGGGACCAACAAGATTGGGTCACTGGAGAGAGGAGTGGGGAAGACAGGAAAAAGAGGGAGGAAAGAGACTCGGGTGCAGCCGGGTACCTTCCTTCACTAAATACATAAAAATATTTGTTTCTTTGAGGTTAGAGAGAGAAGGGAAGAGGGTACCTATCAGGGCACTCACTTCTAACATCAAGGCACATTGCCATGTTAGTTCCCCTAGTGTAGACTGCAGTATGGAAGCCACCAATCCTTGCACCATCTCGTAAGTGAACCTTAGCACTGATCTTCGTTCCAATGCATCTTAAAGATGCAGCAAGTGCTCAACATCAGGAACCTGCAGGAAGATGTCATCTCCGTATCTACACTAGAAGTTAGGTAATATACCTCACGTCTACTGTAGACACGTAGTCCATGTCAACAAGGACTCTCTGTTCTATGATACTCATGGAAAATTAGCGAATAAAACAGCAAGGGAAGAAACCCATTGAGACGCCGTCTACTTGTTTGTTCACGCGACCATCAGGGCAATGGAAGGGTGCCTCTTTGGTCCGTGGTTCGAGTAGCCTCTTGAGTGGCCTTCTGGGGGGGGGTGTAAAGGGGAGTTACTGGGAGTTATCTTACGATGCCTCACACATTATCTTCACGATTAGGATATTGCCATTTATGCCCTGAGAATATCATCAAATATTTTATATAACCATTTTGTGTAAAAAAAATAAGAATTATATGTGATTGGTATTTGTTTTGCAATGTTTGTGTATAATAAATAACATATGTATCCCTGTTGCGAGGACCATAACCTGTCAACACACTTAATGTGTTACACTCTGACGCCACCGACCACAACGTTAATATGATGGTGTATTAAAGTGTATTCAGGTGTATTAAGGTGTATTAACGGTGTATTACTAAAATTACAGAAATATTACCACTACCTGAGACATAAGAACATCGGCCTTCATGGGTATGGTTAGGTTAGGCTGGACTAGGTTAGGTAAGAATAGGTAACGAGGGTTACCTAAGCCTGAACGCTTCTGGTTACCCAACACCAGTGATCATTTGAGCATCTGGGAAACATTTTGGAACCAGAAGAGACACAGAAAACAATAATGATTCTATTAAATATAATTTTAATGTTATTTTGCCTAACAGTACTCATAAATAATGAATCGGTCGTAATGGGCCAGACTAAACAATAATATATCAACGACTATAACTGCTTATAAGTGAAATACGGTTGGGCGAGTCCCGAGAGTTGTGTGTGTTATTTGCTATTCGTAACAACTTATCACGTGCCTCTGTATGACTAACCATCCTGTGTGATGGGGATTTTTTTAGCACCACGCACCTAGCTTTTTAACACACTGTACTCCCCTTCATATAGTCTAGGGCACTGCACAAATGCAGATGTACCTAATGTGTTGATAACAAAAAAAGTGTCTGCAGAATGGAGCTATTAGCTCTTGTACCCCATCTTTCTAACTAATTTATATTTTGTCTATTATATCTACTACATATAGTTTTTTCTAACACAAGGACATACACACATTCCCAGGAAGGAGCCCGTAGCAGGTATCTAACTCCCAGGTACCTATTTACTGCTAGGTGAATAAGAACACATACACACTGTATTTACCTAGTCGTGAGTACACACACACACACACACACACACACACACACACACACACACACACACACACACACACACACACACACTCACACACACTCACACACACTCACACACACACACATACTGTGTGTGTGTGCCTGCATGCTGACCATATACAGGTCTAACTCACAAACATATCCAACAACTTCTACTCAAAATCAATGTTGCTTGAAAAGTTATTAAAGTATAAATAAATTAATACTAAGAGAAGAGCGCATATACTTATGCAGGGATATGAAGCACACGTAGATGGGTTGTATTTCTTATGGCATGTCGGGATAGGAAAGCTGTGAACATATTACAAGAACATATATTTATGTTCTTCCACTCAGCAGAACTCTAGTGTTCAATGGGACATATAATACGATTCAAGAACAAGCGATTATTAACACAAACACCTTGAAATCTGCTAAGGATTAAAACACCTTTTTTTTTAAGTTCCCGACAAAATTCTTTGAAAAATAGTTTTCAAATTTTTAAGGAAATAAAAGTTCTAATATAAACCAATTACAGATTCCTTAAAAGTCATCTTATCTCGATTAAACTTCCCGAGAGGTATATAAATTTGCTATATTCTGGGCTAAAAGACTAGATCAGGTGTTAAGTGCATTAAAGTAGACATAAAGCGCTAATATTGACCCTTCGGGCCGGATTGTCCAGGAATGTATTGACGAAATAAATGGAATAAATTTTTAAATTACTAGGCAACCGCCCAGTGTAAGCGCGGGCCTCAGGCCGGGGCCAGAGCCCCAGTTGGCTCCTGGTCACTGTCGAGTACGGACGTTGCCTCGCGCTCTCCTTCAGTATTATATACAGATCATTATTTCCTCACCTCTCAGTTATAGAGTCCCACTGTGTGAGCGGACGCAAGTATAAGACTGTTGTGAACGGTCTAGCCGTGTGGCATGTGTGTAGTGGTGCCGTGGAGAGCCCTAGGACTGGTGATCCTTTAACTCCTGCGACGCTGGAGGATTGTTTGAGTTATCGATGATAAGTTCGTGTGATGATGTTCATTGTGGGAGTGTGACGTGATTTGACGGTAAGTCCGTGCTCATCTTAGCCTCACTCTCAACCATCCAAATACGGCATATGTAAAAAAAAAAAAAACTATGTATATTTACTCGTAATATTGAGTTAAAATTAAATGAACTTGCAAAGCCTTTTATCCATATAAACAGTCTATATGCTGTAATGGTGAACTAAGGATAGTATTGAAGTATTTCTGGGGGCGAGGGAGTGGAGAGCCCGTTGCTTCATGCCCGTGTGTGAGTGTTGAGACTTTGTGTTGTGGAGGTGTTGTTCCTGCCTTCAACACCCTCCTAACAGCTCCACCCTCACACCAGGCTTAATGTTGATGGTGTAAACACCTGACATGCTGACCCTACCCCCAACCCCCCCCCCCCTACACTGTCAGTCACTGGAGTCCCCTGCTATCCCCCCCCTACACTGTCAGTCACTGGAGCCCCTGCTATCACCTCCCCAACACTGTCAGTCACTGGAGCCCCTGCTATCACCCCCCTACACTGCCAGTCACTGGAGCCCCCTGCTATCCGCCCCCCCCCCTCCCTCACACTCCCCGGAACCCCAGCCATCCGCCTCACTTCCCGTATTACCACAGCTGGTGACACCAGGTTGTCTGTATTTAACAATGTATCTGTGTTCCTACAAGGGAAACATGTGTCCTATTTAGAATATTTTGCTTGGCGGGGAAGAGGTGTAGGGGAGGTGTACTGTTCATGCCTGAGAGATCCTTCCTTATAGTGAGCATCCATCATCTGGTTGACATACTCGTATTGTCACACACACTGGGTCTCTGCACATCTGTACATGGGGCCATGTGTACATGGGGCCATCTGTACATGGGGCCATCTGTACATGGGGCCATCTGTACATGGAGCCCATCTGTACATGGGGCCCATCTGTACATGAGGCCATCTGTACATGGGGCCATCTGTACATGGGGCCATCTGTACATGGAGCCCATCTGTACATGGGGCCCATCTGTACATGAGGCCATCTGTACATGGGGCCATCTGTACATGGGGCCATCTGTACATGGAGCCCATCTGTACATGGAGCCCATCTGTACATGGGGCCATCTGTACATGGGGCCATCTGTACATGGAGCCCATCTGTACATGGAGCCCATCTGTACATGGGGCCATCTGTACATGGAGCCCATCTGTACATGGAACCCATCTGTACATGGGGCCATCTGTACATGGAGCCCATCTGTACATGGAGCCCAACTGTACATGGAGCCCATCTGTACATGGGGCCATCTGTACATGGAGCCCATCTGTACATGGAGCCCATCTGTACATGGAGCCCATCTGTACATGGAGCCCATCTGTACATGGAGCCCATCTGTACATGGGGCCATCTGCGCTCAGTGGAGGGAGCTCTTCAGTACACGCTTCCACCACTCTTCTAAGCATGTCTTCTGGGATGTAAAGAGGAGTGAAAATTGGTTTCTCAATGTTCTAATTGGGAATGTTTATCATTGAGGACATGACACTTAAACCCGACGCCTGGTGAAGGAGTTATTAAAGAAGCCTCCAAGCCGATAAGAATCTATCGCACGACCGGTGTAGGATTGGCAATTATAACCTCTTACATATGCACTCTTGAGAGTATACTAAGGCAACGAATATATGTGACGTAACGCTAGCAGTGACCGCTACTAGTCTACTTGTCGACGCCTGTGTCAACCGTGTGGTAACTGGTCGACGACCGGGCCGCGGGGACGCTAAGCCCTGGAAGCACCTCAAGGTAACGACCAGCTTCAGTTGCAAGCAGGTTGACGTGGAATGCAGTATACTATGTCAGGTCCTTGTCATCCGCGGATGCCCTCACGGCCATGTGGATGACGACACTTAAATGAAGGGGGAATCGCCACGCTGCCTCTGACATGCTGCCTCTGACATGCTGCTTCTGACATGCTGCCTCTGACATGCTGCTTCTGACATGCTGCTTCTGACATGCTGTCTCTGACATGCTGCTTCTGACATGCTGCTTCTGACATGCTGCCTCTAACATGCTGCTTCTGACATGCTGTCTCTGACATGCTGCTTCTGACATGCTAACCGTTCAACGGCGCAAGAGACGGAGGAAAGTGTTCTGGAAGACATAACAGACAGACACGTGACCACCTACCAGCACTATACAGACGATACTGCTCACTATAAACCACAAGGGTAATAATCCCGCCAACTTGCTCATGAAGAACTCTCCCGACACCAAACGATGCGCCTTGAATGAGACGAGTGTCGCTATTTGAGGAACATTTGATGACTGTCGTCTCCAAGGATATAAAGGCATTAGCAGAACGACATTACTTCACTTAAAGTGTCTGAACAATACACAGACAAGTCTTTATCAAAGATCACGGCATTTCCACACACAGACATACTTTCATTAGAGATATCATAACCAACAACACCCAAATAGTCGATAGACACAAGGACAATATGAGAGTAGAGATAACCGAAGCACTACATATTAAACAGTCATCCTAATATCAACAGCCAGGTTACAGCTGGATGCTCCATACCATCTACACGACAGAACTGCCAGTTCGCGCCACACCAACTCCGTCTGCCGACCAATGAGAATGTAGAGCTCAGACCCCTTCTACTGGGAAACACTTCCTCTCTTCCTACATCGTATTAATACTGTCAAACATGATAATCTCTATTACTTTTGCCTCCGTCGGAATCCGTCTGTCAGTGACATGCGTCACCTATCATATGAAAGTGACGACGTTTCGATCCGTACTCTTGGGCGCGTACATCAAGTCGATGCTGTGGAAAATGCGGGAAGCAGCAGCCACATTAAGGTAAGAGAGGAGGTGAAAATCGAAAAGCAAATCATGAAAACTGAACGAAGGGAATCTCCTTTCATCTTCCACTAAACAAAATAAGCAGAGAAGGGAAGGAAAGTAAATAAAGGAGAAATAAGATATAAAACCAAATTAGAAACACAAGGAAAAAGGCGCAGCAGAGAACACATAGGGGCAGATAACAAAGTCACATCGCGCTTGCTGAGAAGATAAGAGAATTAAACTATGCAGAAACCGCTGTTGTATTTCAGATAAAAATTCAACACTCTTGACACTTGACACTTGAGCGTCTACAGATAACTTAACAAATAAAGTGAATCACACCAACTAACCCGCAACATTCGCTTTATTACTATCAAATATACTTTTCAGTAATAGTAATATCTATACACATATATGGGAGAATGTCTGTCCAAAGTCGCAGCACGCCAGATGCTTAGAACTAGTCATACTAAAACTTGCAGGGTTAATGGTCTGCGGCACGGGACGGTCATAGGCTGGTCCGAGTCTTTCTAGAAGGCAAATGTGAAATATGGTGTGTGATTAACGTGGAGTTGTTTGCCATACTATAGTTTCTTAGACCCATATATTTTCTGAGAGAAGGCGTGGGGAAAGGGGGACAGATAGAGGGATAGAATGATGAATATATAGATGAGTAGTTACATAGATGGGTATATAAATAGATGGATGAACTGATGGATAAATGGATGGAGAGATAGATAAATATAGATGGATGGATTGATGGATAGATGGATGGATGGAGAGATAGTAAAATGAATTGATGGATGGATTGATGGATAGATGGATGGATGGAGAGATAGTTAAATGAATTGATGGATGGTTAGTGATGGATAAATAGATGGATAGATTGATGGATAGACAGATGGATATATTAATGGATAGATAGATGAATGGATGGATAGACAGATAAATAGATGGATATATAGATGGAAGGAAAGGAAGATAGGTAGATGGATTGACGAATGGATGGATAGATAAATAGATGGATATATAGAAGGCTGAATAGATAGATGAATGAATAGAAAGGTAGATAAAAGGATTGATGGGAAGACAGACCCAGGCACCACTGGCTACCCCCCCCCCCTCTACTAAAGAGAGCCAGCATCCCATTAACATGTGTGAGAGTAGAGAGGGAGTGTGGCCTCAACCATTGCCCCATTAGACGTCAGGGAGCGCCAGTGGAACCCATTAATAGGAAGCGGATCTAATAATCTACGGAAGAAACAAAGGCTAATCACTTGGACGTAACATTACGAGTTTATGATAAGATAATAATTACGGTGAAGTGAATGGTCGTTGATATGCAGAGGGGTAGAGGCTGAGAGGAGGAGGAGGAAAGGAAGAAAGGGGGAGCTGAGAGAAGGGAAGGAGGAGGAGGAAGAGGAGAGAAGATACATAGGGAGGAAGAGGCAAGGAATTGATAGGCTAGGGATAATGATACATATTGTGCATAAGTTGTTCTTCCTCTTTTTCTCCAGTTCCATCTCCTCCTCTTATTCCATTTCTTCTTCCTCCTCCTCTTCCTCCTGCCTCTCCCCACGACACCTTTCCTCCTTGTAAAAAAAGGAACATTAATATAAGCCGGGGTAATTACTACAGATAATTTGTCTCCAGCGAGAATTATATTTTTGATTAGCCTATATCCATTTTTGTCCCTTCCATCCCATCTCTTTCCTCCACTTCCCTCCCATTTCCTTCCTCACTCTCACCTCTCTCCCTCCCGCCCTCCCTCCCACTAGTCGACCCAATTGGATCTGAAGGAGGTATTCTTGATTTTATTTCCCGGGAGACGTATAATGTTTTAATAGTGCTCTTCAGAGTAGTCCTTAGCAAGTTAATTATGAAATGTTTAAATGTTTGGAGTTTATTATAGTGTGTGTGTGTGTGTACTCACCTAGTTGTACTCACCTAGTTGTGTCTGCAGGATCGAGCATTGACTCTTGGATCCCGCCTTTCGAGCATCGGTTGTTTACAGCAATGACTCCTGTCCCATTTCCCTATCATACCTGGTTTTAAAATTATGAATAGTATTTGCTTCCACAACCTGTTCCTGAAGTACATTCCATTTCCCCACTACTCTCACGCTAAAAGAAAACTTCCTAACATCTCTGTGACTCATCTGAGTTTCAAGCTTCCATCCATGTCCTCTCGTTCTGTTACTATTCCGTGTGAACATT